CAGGCCGGGCACGGTGGCTCATGTCTGTAATCCTAGTTCTCCTGGAGGCCGAGGCGGACGGATTGTTTGAGCTCAGGAGTTCGAAACCAGCCTGAGCAAGAGCGAGACCCCATCTCTACTAAAATTAGAAAGAAATTAATTGGACAACTAAAAATACATAGAAAAAATTAGCTGGGCATGGTGGCGCATGCCTATAGTCCCAGCTACTTGGGAGGCTGAGGCAGAAGGCTCGCTTGAGCCCAGGAGTTTGAGGTTGCTGTGAGCTAGGATGACGCCACGGCACTCTAGCCGGGGCAACACAGTGAGACTCTGTCTCAAAAAAAAAAAAAATCTCCCAACAAAAATCCATCTGGCCCAGGACCAGATGGATTCACAGCTGAATTCTACCAAACATACAAAAAAGAATTAATACCAAGCCTCCTGAAACTGTTTAAAAAAGTTGAGGAGGGGGAATTCTACTTAACTTACTCTACGAGGACAGTATTACCCTGATACCAAAACCAGACAATGACACACATACAAAAGAAAATGACAGACCAGTATTTCTGATGAACATAGATACAGAAGTTTTCAACAAAATACTACTAAATTGAATCCAGCAGCACACCAAAAGGCTAATACATCATGATCAAGTGGGTTTTATGCCAGGATGCAAGGATGGTTTCAACATATGCAAATCAATAAATGTGATACATCATATAAAAATGATTAAAGACAAAAAAACCATATGATCATCTCAGTAGATGCAGAAAAAAACATTTGATAAAATTCAGAATCCTTTCATGATAAAAATCCTCAATATCTAATAAAGGCTGTATATGACACACCCACAGCCAACATCATATTTAATGGGAAAAAGTTGGAACTATTCCCCCTTCTATCCCTGCCTCTTAAATTTAGATATTCTTCAGAATTTTCTTTAGTTCTCTTTTTTGTTTTCAATTTTATGTTAAGATCATTTCAGTTATTACCTATTTATTGAAGATTACTAAATTTCTCTTTGCCTTGTGTGGAGCTCCAGACCTTTATTTATCACTGCCTGTTCGCATGTTTACCAGAATGTTCCATAAATACTAAGTTCAAAAATTCTCAAGTTGTGCTTACCCTACTCACTGTAATCCACCTTCTGTATCTCCTGTTTCATCTATTGGCATCCCCATCCAAAGTCTTTTCCTTCCATATTGCACTGCTGTGTTAAGCCCTTCTGTGCATAATTGTATTTATTCCAGAGTTATCTTTTAGGTCCTGTGATTCTCCTTTTACAGATAAAGCAATTTATGTAGTTTAAACATTTGGCCTCAAAATCACACTGTTAGTATGTGACAGTGCTAGGACATAAACCTGGATCTATAGAGTCCATATTTCTTACTGCAATTATAATAATATTATCTACTTCTGTGACTTTAATCTGAAAATTTAATCTGAAAAATAATATACCTTTAGTTTTAACTAAAACACAGAGTTTATAATAGTTTTTTTAAAAAACCATGAAATCTCCAACAGTAGGGATTCTTGTTGAATCCATTATAGAACATCCATAAGGAATACAATGTGGCCTTTATATTAATATTATACATCATATTTTTGACCAGTAGTTTTCATTTGTGTAAACAAAGCATATATGAAAACCCAATTTATGAAATAGATTAAGAAAAAAATAGTATTTGAAAAGGATGGAAGCTCCAGAGTATCTCATGGGCAGCTGTATGCCATGATTTTTGAGGAGAATCAGGAAAATATTCACAATACATTAAGTGAAAAGAATATAGTTAGTAAAACAAAATGTACAGTGTGTCTTCAATTTTGCTAAATACATATTTGAATATACAGTTGGCCCTTTGTGTCTGTGAGTTCCATATCCATGGGTTCAACCAAGCGCAGGTCAAAAATATTTGGGATAAAAAACTTCTGTACTGAATATGTACAGGCTTTTTTCTTGTCATTATTCTCTAAAGAATACAGTAGAATAACTATTTATGCAATATTTACATTATATTAGTTATTATAAGTACTGTAGAGATGATTTAAAGTACACTGGAGGACATCTGTAAGTTATATGCAAATACAGTGCCATTTTATATAAGGGACTTGAGCATCCTTAGATTTTGGCATCTGAGGGGAGTCCCCACAGATACCAAGGAACAACTCTATACACAGGAACGTTATACATCAAAATGTAGATACTGGTTATTCCTTAATTTGAGGATTATGGGTGATTTTCATTTTCCCCACATTTTTTACAATGAACAAGAATTTGTTTTATTAATATAAACTGAGACTATAAAAGCAAAACTCCTGAATGTTATTTTAAAAAGGCAGTTAAAGCAAAAAGTATAACCAAAACATATTGCATATTATTGAACACAGACACACACATGCACACTCATACTCATATAACAAGTAATAGCAATTTAATCCAGTGACTGTTGTGCTATGAGCATTGGCTTGAAGTCCTCAAATACCTGTGTAGACAAGGGATCATACTCTACCTTTCAAACATCAACCTTGGATATTGATCCTGATTTCAGCTCAGCTTAGAATGTCAACTTTGTAAACAGACTGTTGAATCATGGCTCTGCTAATATTCATTGTTTGATCTTGGACAAGTTACTTAACAGTGCCTTAATTTTCCCCATCTATTAAATGATACCTATCTGAAAGGGAGTTGTTAGGATTAAATGAGTTAATAA